GGCAGTTTATTTCCTTCCTCTCTGCAAGTCTACTACTTGAATATAATTTTCCAGCGTCTTGTTTCCAGATTAAACTCCTTACAGATTGCTAAGGATCCCTGTCCTCTTGTGCTGAAGAGGATCTTTCCTTAGCTGGCCCATTTGTATCCTGAAATCTGATGCTCAAAGCGAGAAGGGGCATTCTGGCTGAGATCTTCTCAGAGGATTTCTGTTTCGTACATCCTAACGTGGTATTGTTTCTTTTTGTAGCTGCAAATAATACTCCATTTGGTCCACCAGAACCCTTTCTCTCTGATTCTAACCCATTTCCTAGTTCAGTCCCTTTCAAAGGAGTAGTGCTCTTCATTCCCTCCCATCAAGTATTTAAACACACTGGTAAGATCCCCCGTAAGCCTTGTCTTCTTCAGGCTGAACAGTCCCAGCTCTCTCAGCCTTTCCTGATACGAAAGATGCCCCAATTCCTTTTGTCATCTTTGTGGCCCTGGACTGAACTTGCTGCAGTACATCCATGTATCTCTTGTTTTGGAGAACCCAGGACTGGACACAGTGCCTCAGGTATGGCCTTGCCAGTGGGGTATAAAGGGAAGGGGTCACCTCCCTTGACTTGCTCTCAATACCTTGCCTAATGCAGCCTCGGATACCATTTGCCTTCTTTGCAGCAGGGCACGCTGCTGGCTCGTGTTCAACCTGGTGTCCACCAGGATCTCCATAGGGCCTTTCCTGCAAAGCTGCCAGCCAGGCAGCCCCCAGCAGGTACTGGTGCATGGGGTTGTTCCTCGGCAGGTGCAGGACTTGGCACTTCTCCTTCTTGAACTTCATGAAATTCCTCTTAGCCCAGTTCTCCAGCCTGTACAAGCCTGTCTGAATGGCAACACAACCCTCTCCTATGCCAGCAACAACTCCTGGCTTTGTATTGTCTGCAGATTCCTCTCTGCTGAAGTTATGTTATGGCTTTTGCAGACCTCATCTTCAATTTATCAGTTGAAAACTTGGTTTGAACTCCTGTCCCTCAGTGAGTTTGCAATACTCTTAGCTTGGTATTTGTAAACTTGAGCCAATGTTCCACTGTAACATCAAGTATAAATACGGTTTTAAGCTGATGGCAGACCCTTTCAGAACCACGTTAGATAATCCTTTAATTATCACAGTGCAACTTTAATTTTTGTGTACAGTGTCATTTTGGGTTTTTTTTCCCCCGACTTAAGTTGGGTAAGCCAATGCTACATTCTTCCATCAGGATCAGGCACTGTTTCCTGACAAAACCTGCCTTTGTTAGAAGCCTCATTAAGATCAGGATGAATCCTGCTGCTATTGCTTTCCTTATCTACCAGTTGTTACTTGCCAGCGTTTGTTTTACACTTAGTGAGAAATGAAGGCTTTTGACATGATTGATGGAGAAACTTGATCTTGATCTGCCTGTGTTCATCCCTGTGCATCACCATCTTTCTCCCCAGACATTTTAGAGCAAGAGGGAGAAATGTGATTAATGTAGCGATCAAAAACTTGCTGCTATGGGAAGGTAGGGCTCTCCTTGGCTCTGTGGTCTGCTACTAATGTTTGTTCCTTTTGCTGCTGGAATATACTGGAGAATCTGAGTCCTTACCTGGTGCTGACTTCGAGAAACATGCTGATCTGGTGCTAACTTTAGGAGACACTGGTCTGGATGGTGCTAACTAATTCTAGGAAACCTCTCCTTTCATTGCTTTTGTTTAGCTACAGGTGTGTACATACTGCCCATAAAGAGGAGGCTTTTGCAAGGCTGACTGAACCCTCTTTGTGAAGGCAGAATGAACTAACTTGGAAGTATTTTCTTAAGATGTTGAACATCTTTCTAAAAAGAAACAGAAGTCCTGTCCTCAGGAATAGCAGAAATCAGTCCAAATCCCTCTCTAGTGCAAAGCTGTTGAATTTTAAATATATATATTTATTTTTATTTTATTTTTGGTCATGGAAACATGAACAATGCAGCTATTAAATCACTTCTTTGGGCTGAAGTCGAAAGAACTTGAGGCAGTGTGAGACAACACTTGGGAACTTTCTGTCTCTCATGTTATCTTAGCTTGTTTAATCATGATAACCTGTGCTGATGAAAGGGACTGATGCTAAGTTTGCTTACTTAGTAAAGTCTCAGGAGACAGAGGACGTCCATGTCCTTGATGGCTAGCAAGCAAAGATTAAGGTCAGACAAGGTCATCATATATCCTGATGTTAATGTGACCAGAAGTTTAACTCTGCTCTACTGCTCATCTAATTCTACGATGCTGTTCTTTGCCAGTGAAGAGGAACAGCTTGGACTTGGAGGAGCACTGAGTGTGTTGTCCTTGTCCTGTCATAGTAGTGCTAGTTGGTTTTATGACCCTCTGTTGTAAAAAGAAGTGCTGTTTGACAGCTTGCTCAGCTCAGCTGAGGAGTAGGCAGCCTCTCTCGAGGCAGTACCAAATGACTAAAACTTAGGTGGGTCATTGCTCTTGGACAGTGGAGCTGGGGAAGGTCTGTGTGATGTAACAGACTTTTATTCATCACGCAGACAAGACTGGGATCAATCTGAAATAAGTTTCTCAGCTGAGGGGAAGGAAACGGTCTTTTGTGGGTAAAAGTGACCTTCTGCCCGTTGCAGGAAT